ATAATAAATAAAAGATAGAGCATCTCTTTACAGCTGCTGCCGTAACTCCCCAAGATGCTGAAAGTTACCTGTAACAAGCAGCACTCTCGCTCTCTCTCTCTTTCACAGTATATCAGAGTTGCACAAGAAAATGAAAGGATTAACCATAATCTTAATGTGTCAAGCAGAGGTTCAGCAGCAGGAAATGCAGTTTGCCAGCCAGGAAGTGCAAAGTGTTAGTGGGGAAGGTGCAATTTGCACTGGAGAAACAGCTGGATGGAGGGATTGCTTAACCCTTCTCTTGCTCATAGCTTTTTCTTCCTACAGCCCTCATCCCCATCTGCTTTTCTCTTCTTGACTGGGGTTCCAGACCTGTTTGCCTTGTCATGGAGGGAGTGGGGGGCTGGTTTGAAGGAAGTGGTGCAAGAGGAAGCAGCAGGTAAAGGAGGGGCAGCAGGTTAAACACACCCACCCTTCTTGCAGATATTAATATTGTGCAGCATGAAGTGACTGGATGAGTAAGAACTCTTTGAATAATATTTTTATGGGTCTGATCAATGTTGATTGTGTGGCAAGTTCCCGCCTCCCACCAGTAGAAATAAAGACACGTGACACCATTATTTAGGTTAATGAGCTAAAATTGGCCACAACTTTATTGGTTACAGGTAAAGAGCGGTATTGGTTTAGGCATTGGTCCTATCCTACTATCCGGCTTCAGCCTGCTTGCTTGAAGACCGGGAAGGGTTAACCACCAGCAGGGGGAGCCCTGCTGATGCACATCAACTAGGAACTCCCCCGGGGTCACCGCTCGGGGGCGTGCCTTGGGCCCTGGCCTCCCTAGGCTTCGGACGAGGCCACGCCCCCCGGAATCCTTTACCGGACTACTCTTCAATATTTGGGGAAGGTGATGGCACTCCTCCCCCCCCCAACACATCTACATAACAATACCTCTACCAATGCCTAACTGCCAAAATCAAAGGAGTTGTGATGATTTGCTACGAGGTAGGCGAAAAACCAAATGGCCAGTGCCAATTTGCCAAGTGGAAAAAATTCCTACCAGGCCCCTTAATGGCGACCAACCAAGGTCCATAGCAAGGTCAGAAGGTAAACCTTAAAGGGCGGGTGGGTGGGAAACCATATCAGCTGCGCGGGCCCAAAGAGGAAGATCCCGGGGCTGCGCCTGCCTTAAATGCGGCAACCCACACGCCCCAAGCCAGCCGATTGGCTGGCTCAGGGGATGATGCATCCCAAGGATTCCCCTGATCGCGTGGGGCTGGAAACCAGCCTCCGCGCTCATGTTGGGGGCGTGAGCCCGTGACCCCACCTCCTCCTGATGTCGGAAGTGGCTTTATGCATCCAGTCACTTCATGCTCCTCCTTTCGGAAATCGACATGGCTCAGACCCATAAAAATATTATTCAAAGTTTGCTCTTCAGAAACGTGACAAAACACATCAAATGATACATCCATAACATCTTAGAGACCAACACGGCTATCTACCTGTAACTAGATCCATAACACCTATGCAATATATTGTGCTGTTTGTCCAGCACAGGCTCAGCATCTTAAAAATAATAACTCCAAAAATCAAAATGATGTCTCTCTCCCCCTTCCCAGAATGAGGGAACCTGTCATAGGGGATGCCAGGTTGTGCCCCCTCGTGCCCTTTCGAAAATCTGTGCCAGGGCCATGGCTGCCCTGTCCTTTCTCACACTACGCCCCTGGGTAGTTGCATGGATTGGGTTTTATATATATATATTAGAAGTATATGCACTGATCTGATATACATTCCCCCTGATCTGACATTTATAGGATATATGACACGCTAGTGCCAGCTGCAGCCATCAGAGATCATTCTCCAAGCTACCATGAGGCCGATTCTACAGAATGTGGCTCAGAGAGTGCAGGCATGAACTGTAATGCAGCAATGTTATGCCATTGCTCGCATCACCAAGTCCAAGATACAGGTCTCCAGCCCACGCAGATTTAATTTGGTAAGGGCTGGAGAAGAAAGAGAAAAGGGTGATTCTGGAGCAACGTTGGAAGGACAGCTTGATTCAAAATTGTTATTACGAAAGAAATCTGTGCTCCGAGGAGATAAAAAGTGGAGATTCATTTCTCAGGCAAGGCTGCTGAGGCAAAAAAAGACAAGAAAAAACCCTCCAGTAATTCAAGAAACAATTAGCTGTCACTTCTCAGGGGTAGCAGACTGTGAAAAGTAGTTAGATGGTGATATAATCTTTGTATTATGACTGGCTTTGGAAGAAAATTCTCATGGTGGGGGAGGTGAATCGAGAGTCAATCCTGTGTGAGGCCATTTTTTATCATGCGGCCATATTTAGTTGGCAGAATCAGCCTACTCAGGCTTCAGCTCAGGTGATGGATAGAGATTGGGGGAGAAATCCAGTCCTGTCGGCTTTTTCGTGTGAACATACCTGTCCTGGCCCTCACTATGCCTGGAGTACTCAACCTCAAAATTTAATGCGGAAATCAGATTGGTACCTAGGTAAGGCACAGCAGGTATGTAAGAGACTAAGGCATTGATCCCATACACTAAGGCATTGATCCCACAAGTACAATGGTCCCTGCCTTTTCCTTTTGAAAGACGGAGTGGGAACAGCAGTTGATGTTGTTGTTGTTGTTGTTGTCGTCGTCATTGTCGCCGTCGTCGTCGTCATGTCGTCGTCATCATTATTCATACCCTGCCCATCTGGCTGGGTTTCCCCAGCCACTCTGCGTGGCTTCCAACAAAATATTAAAATACAATAGTCCTTCAGATATTAAAAGCTTCCCTAAACAGGGCTGCCTTCAGATGCCTTCTAAAAGTCTGGTAGTTGTTTTTTTTTCCTTTGACATCTGATGGGAGGGTGTTCCACAGGACAGGTGCCACTACTGAGAAGGCCCTCTGCCTGGTTCCCTGTAACCTCACCTCTCGCAGTGAGGGATCTGCCAGAAGGCCCTCGGCACTGGACCTCAGCATCCGGGCAGAACGATGGGGGCGGAGACACTCCTTCAGGTATACTGGACTGAAGCCATTTAGGGCTTTAAAGGTCAGCACCAACACTTTGAATTGTGCTCGGAAACGTACTGGGAGCCAATGCAGGTCTCTCAGGACTGGTGTTATAAGGTCTTGGCAGCCGCTCCCAGTCACTAGTCTAGCTACAGCATTCTGGATTAGTTGTAGTTTCCGGGCCACCTTCAAAGGTAGCCCCATGTAGAGCGCGTTGCAGTAGTCCAAGTGAGAGATAACTAGAGCATGCACCACTCTGGCGAGACAGTCTGTTGGCAGATAGGGTCTCAGCCTGTGTACCAGATGGAGCTGGTAGACAACTGCCCTGGACACAGTTCGTGGCCAGAGTCTCAGGATTGGGCAAGCAAAAGGACACTTCTTTGAGTAAGTTGGGCTTGTGATGTCTGTTTGCGCCAGCGCTAACATCTCCATGTCCATGTCCTTGCACGTGGGGTTGGAGCAAAGTCAGCATCCAATTTACCCTCAGTTTGCCTCCTGAAGAGGCTGTTCATTAGTAGGAGGAGATGCTGGAGGTTTCTCCACAGCAAGAGGTGTATGATCGGGGTGCCCAGTGCCATAGGGGCATAACACTCCCCTGTCAACCTGCTTGGTCCCTCTCCTGGACCCAGGTCTCCATTCTTTGGGCTTCTGACCTCCTTCCCAGGCTCAGACACTTATTGGGGTCCTGACTTCACTTCTCCCATCCCACAAGAACACTCTCTGGTGTCATCTACATCCAGCTCCTTGAGCTCCACCAGGATCTAACCATTCCTGGCACTCCATGAGACTCACGGCGCTTCCTAATTTGCACTTCCTGAAACAATATGGGAACTGAAATGCAGCTGTCCTAAAAAGCTGCCTTCTGGCAAATCACACCATTGGCCCATCTAGCTCAGCAAGGCCTACACTGACTGGCAGCCGCTCTCAAAGGTTTCAGACAAGGGGCCTGTCCTGTGTGCTGGGGACAGGGATGGGGGAATCCATCTATTTCACTTTCTCATTTTTCCAATCTTCAGCTGTCCATCAGTCCTTATGCACCGGTTTGGAAAGCGAAAGTGGAGAATTAAGTCCTCATGAAAACCCATCAGCATCTTAACGTGACTTTCTCCTAATATACAGATTTTTTAAATACAGTTTTAGCCTTTTCGCAAAGTCTTCCCTAATATAATCCATATGGTGTTATTTTCCCCAGTATATAGACACATCTATGCATACTTTAAATCGTATGAAGTTTCGTACGCATTGGTCGACTGGAGAAGTGCTCTGCAAAATTCAAAAAAAATGTGAATTTTGATTGGTGGCTGTGTTTCATTCCACATACAGTCATACCACTTGTTACGTTTGCTTCAGGTTAATTTTTTTCATGTTGCATCCCATGGCAACACGGAAGGCAACCCAGAAAGGGTTACTTCTGGGTTTCGCCGCTCGTGCATGTGCAGACACGCAAAATGATGTCATGTGCAGAAGCAACGAATCACGACCCGTGCACGCGCAGACGCGGGTTGCCTTCCGCTCATGTTGCAAACGGGGCTCCGGAAAGGATCCTGTTCGCAACCAGAGGTACCTCTGTACTGTGTATTATTTTGGAGAGTGTGGATTAGGTAAAGTCTCCTTCAAATGCAAATTGAAGAGAATTTGTCTCCCATTCCTGGCCTTCCCTTGTGCTCATCCAGCATTACATCAGCTACATCACTCTGGGATCATGTTTTGCCAACCATATATTCTGTTAGGGTTATGTGAGAGAAAAACAGAATAAAATAAGTGAATCACAGACAGAATATATAGATATTTCAACAAGTCAACTATTAGAATAAAAGCTCGTGCTGAAGTCATTTTGGGGGGAAAAGGGGGGATGAGCAAGTTGGCATCAGAATGTGTTCCTATGAAGTTTAACATTGTCTTGGCATGGGATTTTAATTCTCTTTGTCCAAAACGTGAACTGTACTAATTACTTATCAAGCTATGCTTAATACATAAATATGTTTTGTTCCCCCCCCCCTTTGTATTTTCAGGGTATTTTTCCTCACCAAAATAAGAATCATACCGAAAGGAGCTTTCTTGGGACTCGATGAAGTTGAAAAAATGTATGTACCTCCATATTCACTCATTACATTTGTAGAATGATGTAGAAGGCTATTTTTGGTTTGGGGTTGTTTTTCCCCTCTCTTCCATAGACCTGCACTGTGCTTTAATTAAGCTATCAGCTCACCGCTCCCATAGGAGCCTTCTCTTCATTCACTTAAGGACTGGGGGGGGGGGTTGAAGGAGAGTTCGCAAAGCCAATCTTCCAAAGCGGCGTTGCCACAATTACATCTGTGCATCCTTATGAAATAGGTTTTTCAATACGGAGTTGATTGGTGGGCACTTAAGAAGCAAACGGAATAAGAGATCACAAGAGAAGAGCAGAATCTGTAAGGCGACTTAAGGGCTGGTTCTTCTTCATGTGATGGCACTGCGGTCTAAACTGCTGAATCTCTTGGGCTTGCTAATCAGAAGGTCAGCAGTTCAAATCCCCACGACAGAGTGAGCTCCCGTTGTTCTGTCCCAGGTCCTGCCAACCTAGCAGTTCTGGGGCACCCAAAGTAGTTGCACTGGGAAGTATTAAATAGAGACTCACCGATCCAACTGTCCGTTGTGAAGGGTCTGGGGCAGGCGGTGCATAGACTGACAGCTGTCTTAAGCATGTGCTGATGCTGAACTTGCACTCCTTCATTCATTCTTTTTAAAAAATATTTTTATTGATTTTAACATATAAATTATAAAATGTACCACAAAACTTATCACTTATACAATCTTTTTAGACTTCCATCAGCCCCTCTGATGATCCACCGTTTTAACCACTTCTTATGCATTTCTTAACTTTATATTGCCTTTACATCTCTTAACAAATCATCATCCTTCCCCTTCTCCATTTTTGCAATACTTCCAATAATACTCACAAAACTTCTTGCAAACCTACAAACGTTGTCTGATCTTAACAAATACTTTTCAAGTAGTCCGTAAATTTACTCCAGTCTTCCATGAATTTCTGGTCCCGCCGGTTTCAAATCTTTCCTGTTAGTTTATCTAGTTCTGCATAGTCCATTAACTTCATTCTCCATTCTTCAATCGTCGGTAATTCTTCTTGCTTCCATTTTTGGGCCAGTAATATTCTTGCTGCTATTATTGCATATAAAAAGAGCTTACATTCCTTTCTATTTATATCACTCCCCACAATGCCCAGTAAAAATGTTTCTGGTTTCTTTATGAATGTATATTTCAACATTTTTTTCATCTCATTATATATCATCTCCCAGAAGCATTTCACCTTTTTACATTCCCACCACATGTGATAAAAGCACTCCTTCATTCATTCAGGGGTGGTGTGTCCCATTTTGCCCCCCTCATTGCCGCCCCACTGCTGGCACCGTGCGTCCCTCACCTACCTTGCATGGCGGTTACTTAGAACTAGTTCCTGAGAACCTCAGGAGGTTGAGTGCCCTTGCACCCAGGTCCTGCTTGCAGGTTTCCTATAGGCATCTGGTGGCTCTTGTGAGAACAGGATGCGAGACTAGATGGGCCACTGGACTGATCTAGCAGACCTCATTCTGTCTCCTTGGCAAAGACTGGTACTAGTTCATTTGTAGAGGTTGGGCCATGAGGGTGAACTTGGCTCTGCCCCACCAGCCTGACTTCTTATTTACAGCAAGTCTAGGGGAGAGCACTGGCCTGACAGCTTCTTGCTAAGTCTCCATGTTTGCCTTTGTAGGAACCCCTTAGAGAGGAGGTTGGAGACAAAACTAGGATCAGTTGACTTTACCTGCCACTGGCAATTGGCTGTAATAACAACAACAACAACAACAACAACAACAACAACAACAACAACAACAACAACAACAACTTATTTATACCCCGCCCATCTGGCTGGGTTTCCCCAGCCACTCTGGGCCGCTCCCAATAGAATATTAAAAACATGGCAAAACATCAAACATTAAAAACTTCCCTAAACAGGGCTGCCTTCAGATGTCTTCTAAAAGTCAGATAGTCGTGTTTCTTCTTCTTACCGAGAAGGCCCTCTGCCTCGTTCCCTGTAACCTCACTTCTCACAGTGAGGGAACCACGAGAAGGCCCTCGGAGCTGGACCTCAGTGTCCAGGCAGAATGATGGGGGTGGAGACGCTCCTTCAGGTATACTGGGCCGAGGCTGTTTAGGGCTTTAAAGTCAGCACCAACACTTTGAATTTTGCTTGGAAACATACTGGGAGCCAATGTAGGTCTTTCAGGACCGGTGTTATATGGTCTCGGCGGCCGCTCCCAGTCACCAGTCAAGCTGCCGCATTGTGTATTGTAGTTTCTGAGTCACTTTCAAAGGTAGCTGCACGTAGAGTGCATTGCAGTAGTCCAAGTAGGAGATAACCAGAGCATGCACCACTCTGGCGGGACAGTCTGCGGGCAGATAGGATCTCAGCCAGAGTACCAGATGAAGGTGGTAGACAGTTGCCCTGGACACAGAATTGACCTGCTCCTCCATGGACAGCTCTGAGTCCAAAATGTAGCTCAGTAATAGAGTACCTGCATCGCATGCAGAACATCTCCAGCATCTCCAGGTAAGACTAAGAGAGGACAGAGTCTGAAATCCTGCCAGTTAGTGTAGATAGCACTGAACTAGGTGGACCAAAGGCAGCTTACTATGTTCCTGTCATTATTCTCCACCCTGCAAGTCATCCTCGTGGGCCAATACAGTGGTGCCTCGCAAGACGAAATTAATTCGTTCCGCGAGTTTTTTCGTCTAGCGAATTTTTCGTCTTGCGAAGCACAGTTTCCCATAGGAATGCATTGAAAATCAATTAATGCGTTCCTATGGTCAAAAAAAGTCCAAACAAAGCCAAATTTGGTACAACAAGAGTTTATTAGTGCTCTTTAAAGTCACGCATACTGTAAAGAGCATTTCAAAATTCAAACCCAGAATTTTTTTTAAAAAACAGCAGAGTGGCCCAATGGTCACAGAAAATCATAAAAATGCAGGAAAAAAACACACAAGCTTCCAGATTCTTGCAAACCCCTCCCCAACTGTTCCCCCAGCCACCCACCACACAGAAATTCAAACCCAGAATTTTTTTCGTCTTGCGAAGCAAGCCCATAGGGAAATTCGTCTTGCGAAGCAGCTCGAAAAATGGAAAACCCTTTCGTCTAGCGAGTTTTTCGTCTTGCGAGGCATTCGTCTTGCGGGGCACCACTGTACTGGCTTGTTCATTTTTGCTGCAGATCCCTTGCCTCCCAGCAGGGCTCATGGAAGCATGAAGATGACTGCTGAGCCCACCTGTAAACTCTTTCTGTTGTTGTTCGTTACCTGCAGAAACCATATGTCTGCCTTGTATAAAGTGCGAAAAGGGGGATGTTGACGAGGGAGGAAGCTTGTGAGAAAACTGACAAACACTGTTAGCGAAAGAGCAGCCGGGAGGTGGGGGGGAGAGAGAAGAAACACAATGCTAAGCAGGGGAAGTGGCTTTCATTTGAAAATATAGCGATGTGCTGTGGAAACTCTGTGGGGAAACAGTTTAAAGTGCGGCAGCAATGAAAATAGGGGGTTGATGAATATGCAAACGAGACCAATCAGCATCGGCGGCGTCTGCAGATGAGAAGCAGCAATGAAATGTGAAATGGCTCACAAATCAAAAATATAACCCATAAAACATTCATTGGAAATATTCATGATAATGGAGGGGCACAAACTATATAATCAAGTGATATATTTGCATATAAAAAAGGAGACCCCCTTGTATGAGATTCTTCCACCTGCCTCCCCCCGCCCCGCAATATCATACACACACACAAAAACCAAGATTAAAGTCAACGGTAGGCTATTTAAAGGAAATGGCTATTAGTAATATGATGCCTCCATGTGGTAAAATGTATTTTTCCTAGAGTATACAAATTAGATACTTCAATACACATGCGGCGCGCTGTGTTAGCACGAAGCTTGCGGGGAAAGAAATTCCCACAATGGATATATTCGCTGCAGAAGTTTAGTGAATTAAAAATTTCATGTCTGTGAGAAGGGAATGGATGACTTCAAACAGGCTCTCGAGGACCCATCTGCAGGGCCTATCGACTGAAGAGAGAGCTTAATGGAAAAACGTCATTGTGTTGAATTTTGTAGGGGGAGAGAAAAACAGCTTTTCCACAGAGGGGAAAGCTTTTGCATTGGTAAGAGATTCGAGCCTATCATCCCACAGGGTGTGGATCTGCATAAATGTAACGAGATCTGCACCGGGATGCTCAGATACGGTTAAAGCTTGTGAATAACTAAGCCACTGCACATTGGTATGCGAGGTGCAGATCGGAGACGCTTTCAGACTGTCGCTCTTTAGCAGGTGGAATTCAGTCACACACCAGATAATTCAGGTGGTGCAATTAAAGTGGATTTGGCACTCTCGTGCAGTCAAGATGCTCCCCTCTCCCCCACCACTAGGGGAAAAAAGAACCGGGCTTTTTGCAGTAGGGAAAATGATGGAGAAATGTGAGCTATCTGTTCTAAATTTAGGTGGAAGAAAAATTGCCACGTCTCAGGGCTTGACCTGAAGTTCCAGGCATTTAGACCCTTTCTCAGTGTCTCCAGGGAAGGGGGTGAAACATGAATGGGGGACCAGTTGGTTGCCTTCCATATGTTTGTTGTTGTTGTTTAGTCATTCAGTTGTGTCCGACTCTTCGTGACCCCATGGACCAGAGCACGCCAGCCACTCCTGTCTTCCACTGCCTCCCGCAGTTTGGTCAAACTCATGCTGGTAGCTTCGAGAACACTATCCAACCATCTCGTCCTTTGTCGTCCCCTTCTTCTTGTGCCCTCCATCTTTCCCAACATCAGGGTCTTTTCCAGGGAGTCTTCTCTTCTCATGAGGTGGCCAAAGTATTGGAGCCTCAGCTTCAGGCTCTGTCCTTCCAGTGAGCACTCAGGGCTGATTTCCTTCAGAATGGATAGGTTTGATCTTCTTGCAGTTCATGGGACTCTCAAGAGTCTCCTCCAGACCATAATTCCAAAGCATCAATTCTTCGGTGATCAGCCTTCTTTATGGTCCAGGTCTCACTTCCATACATCACTACTGGGA